TTTTGGCTCTTTTCCATTTATTGGCAAGTTTCAGGCTCACATTTATTCTCTCAGCAACCCCAGGATTCAGAGCATGCCTCTTTCTCGATAGTTTAAATTTAAAAATTCAGAATTAACATTCATGTGTGCTGACTGGAAAATATGCCCTTGGAACCATCACAGTGGGCAGAGGGATGAATGACACAGATTGGCGAGACCTGAGTCATGTGCACACCCTTGTGTCACGGTGGGATCTATGTATGCAAGAAGGGTGGTTCCCTAGGAAAAGCGGAGTACAGTATTGTTATTAGATGAAAGAATGCATGACTGACTTGCAAAATTAACTGATGTGCCCTATACTCTAAGACTTTGTGCATGCTATCTACCATTAGCTGGAATGTCTTTCCTTCTCATTTCTGCCTACCCAAATCCAAGCTATATCCTTTCTGCCCCCAAAGTCTTCTGTGATTTCTTCTAAGACTTTCCTTGTCCACTGAATCAAGTTACCCATTCCTATATAGGTATTTCCCTTTTTCTAACGATCTACCTTTTTAAACAAAAAGGGAGAAATCTCCAGAAAACGTTCCATAATGAATTCTAATCATGTCAAAATTATGAACGGTATGGGTAATATGTGCTGTTTCTTAGAATGTAAACTCTTGAAGGACAGCAGCTTTACTAGGTACATTCTATACATTATAAAAGAGCAGACTGTGTGGCAACTGATATATATAGCATTCAAATAATTTTCTTGGCTTTAAATTTCCTGTAGGGTCTAAACAAAACATTTTCGCTAACATAAGTTGGCTAAAATTTGGGTATGAATTCATCTAAGTACCTGGTATAACAGGTAGACTATGGTTGGGGGTTACCTCAAACTAGGCCCAAATTCTGGCTAATACCACCTTCCAAATGGTCTTTAGCTACAGGTCTTTGAGAAAATTATCTTCTCTCTCCAAACTTTGGTTTTACTATCTGTAAAAACAGGAATGCTAATGCCTTTCTGTACACAGGGATGCTGTGTTATTATAGTGGAGAGAAAAGAATTAGATGGACCTGAGCTAAAATTCTACCATTAATTCTAGTTACATGACTTTCTCTGAGTGATTCCTTATATACAAAGTGGGGATGCTATTTAATCCATTGGTTGTTAAGCATTTAACAAGGCAATGTATTTTAAGATACCTAAAACACTGAAGAGCAAATAGTGAAAACTCAATAAATGTTATCCACATCAAATTATCTGTTTAAAATAATTCCGTGTTTTTGTACTTAGCAAGGTCTGCCAAAGATTTCTTATACTTAGTGATATTCCTAATAGATTATAATGAATTTAGTCTAATAGGTTATAAAATACTTAGCAGTGTTTTTCTTTTTTGTACTTTTTGATCAGATAAAATGTCAACCAACAAAAAATTTGGTTTATATAGAAACTATTAAAGTAATAAAATAAATGTGGACAATAACAAACTAATATGCAGAACACAGTAAGGGAACAATTCATTGAGATTACTTATTAGATTTCATAAATGCCCTTGGGGTTTCTTTGTTAATAAAATCTTTCTTAAAGGCAAAACACATTCATCCTACAACTATTTAAAAGCAGGTAAGATAATGAGCTAGATAAACGCCTATAATCAGCTTGTTCTTTAGCTTCAGGCTTAATGTAGTAAATATTGAAATGACTCACACCAATATGAAATTGTTATGCTATCTATCTCCTGAGCAGTCATATGCCACATAGCCATCTCCTGAACAGAATCAGAAAATGTGGAGTATGAATGACAATTTTAGATACTGTCTATCAAAATACATGCCAAAGGCAAGTGGCTGTTCATATTTACCCTAGCAAAAAAGTTTAACTTTAATATCATTCACTAAAAAATACAAACTACATTTGGTACAGTTTCCAAAAATTAAATAAGTAGGCATTTAATGTCTTCCATTTTACATTAGAGCAAAAGTATCTTTGAAAGAACAGTTTCTGAAAGTAGTTTAACAGTTCTGTTTATTTTAACATGAGTGAATCATATGTAATACCAATCTTTAATGAGTGCACAAACATAGGAAGGTGTTAAAGATTTTAAAATAAGATAAATAAAATGGAATAAATATTAGACACAAAGTACTACACATTCTTTGGTTGCAAAAACACTACAGGAAAATAAAATATTTAACTACAGCATATTATATAAATTTGTGTAAGGAATTTTTTTCCTTTGTGCAAAACATGAATAGACTTAGTTTTTAATCTACACCCTGAGGAAGCTATATTTTAAACACAAGAGAAATATATTATGTTGAATACCTTAGTCACCAGACATTGTTCTCTACAACTAAGAAAACCTAATTCCTTATTATTTTTCCTGTGTTCAAAAGTATGTATAAAGCAAAATAATGTTAGTTTTTAAAAAGCATTAAATACAGATATGGTAGGCAAGCTATGTATATTTTCTAAGTAGTTTTCTTCAACTTTTTTTGCTGGGGGGGGGCATGAGGAGAGAGGAAAGTAATGGGAGTCTGAAGGTGGGCTCTAGTTATTTTTACAAGTATATTTGGTAAGTCAACTAGATGAAGGTGGCGAAAGAAAAGTTACAGCGTTCGGATTCACATTAATAACAACTCTTGAAAAAAACGCCAATGCTGAGATCGCAGTATTCTTGACAATGCAGCGACGAACGCTATTCTGACCTAATAAGAGCGTGCTACCATCCCAGCTTTTAGCAAAGTCAATTTGTAAACCCAAATCCGAAAGGGCCCGCAGAAACCGGGGCGGGGCAAGGATCTACCTCCGCAGCGGCAGAAGTTAATTTTCTAGGAAAGTAAAACACCACCCATCAATGCCCTGTGGTTCTCTTTCTCGGGAGGTGCAGTCCGCCTCGCCCCAGGCTCGGGGTCTGGCCGGTAGGCCCGCGGGGCTGGGTGGGTGGGTTAGGACACTCGCCCTCTCCCCGCTACCCGGCTACCGACCAGGAGCCATGAGACCAGTTGCTGTAACTACCCCCGAGTCCCCCCACTGACTGAGGCGGCCTCCTGCCACGCCCAGGGCCTCCTATGGGCAGGGATGCCCCTCGCCCAGCTCACCCGCCCGGGTGGTGTCCGTCAGGTCGTGGTTGGCCGCTGCCCGGGGAAACTCCCTCAGTTTCCGGCCGCTCAGGCTCAGCACCCCGGTTACCGCTGCCTCCTCCAGCGCTCGATCAAGGGAGCGGCTCCACGAGACCGGGCCAGTACCAGGGCCTGTCCCGGAGCTTGAGCCGCAGTTAACACCGGAAAGGTTACCTCCGGACGCTACCGGGCCAGAGTAGTCTGCAGCCGTGGCCACAGCGACCAAGCCCGCGGCCGCCATTTCTCAGCCGACAACGCTCTGACCCGCCAGCTCAGCGCATGCGCGACCAGAACTGATGGGTGGGCGGGGAAAGGGGCCTACAGACCCCGGACGGTTCCCTTGATGGGCAGGGCTGTGGTGTCCCTCAGCACATCCCCGCGCTTGCCTCCGCCCACGAGGTTTTCAAGGGAAAATAAAACAGAACTCCCAAGTCTGGCGCAGCCGCTGCTTTAGGTTCCCAGTAGCATTTCCAAAATTCCTCTACAAAAATATCTTGCAGACAACCCTTCTCACCAAAACTTCTGTCCTCTTCCTTCAGTATTAGAGAATTAGATTAAGCATTAAATTAAAACTTAACACTGTTGCTTCCAGAAACTTGGACAGTGAGATAAGGGGACCCTGGGATACGACCTACAACATTTTCCAAAGTCTGTCATTCTGTAAAGCAAATGATCCAAATGGATACTTGTGGATTAATTAACTACCATTGCCTGAAGGGAAAAAGGGGGCCGAACTGGCTCCCAAACCCTATAATTCTCACTGAAAGGATTATATAAATATTTTAGGCCCTCCCTCCCTTTTATAATTCTTAACAAAAATAAAACAAGCATCTTAAATAGTACTTGTCTTTTAGACCAGATTTTAGGCAGGATGAACAACATTAAAGTCTAAAATTTTGGTCTAGCCTACAGCCATGCCACCCTGAATGTGCCTAATCTCATAGGGTCAGGCCTGGTTAGTACTTGAATGGGAGACCACCTAGGAATTAAAAAAATAAAATTTTGTTCTGGAATCAAAATTGAAGAGAAAAGGATCTGACAATATCTTTTTTTTTTTTTTTATCATACGCCAAATGGAGGGGTTAAACGTAGAATTTAAGAAATGGTAAACAATGAAACTATTTGATTATTGAAAAAGTGGAAAATAGTTCATTTTACATCAATTAGACCTCACTTATATTGCAATGTCTTTAGCATATTCCTGTTTATTTTGCACATTTAAGCCATTTCTGTTACATTATGTAAATCTCTCCTACAATCAATCATCTAGTATTTACTGTGGTAACTAGAAGAGGCCCTCCAATAGTCCTGTTCCTGGGAGATTATAATCTAATTATAGAAATAGACAAATAGATCAATTAGAGAACAAGACAACGAAAGAAGGTCTGAGTAGGGGTGGTGTGAATTATCAGAATTCAGAGAAGAGGAATTTATATTATGGATGAATGAGGTTTGGAATAAAATCTGAAGGACTATGAAGTGGGGTAGGCTGGAAGGTGAGAGCAATATTCCATATTGGGAGGAGGATCAGGATGAACTCCACTAGGTATGATTTATAATAGTATATGTGGAAAATATCAGGGGCACAGGCCAAAAAGTTCATGTCAGAGAGCTCAAGAAAATAAGGTTGAAGAGATTTTACTCATCACTCAAGGCCTAACTCTTCAATGAAACTTTGATCAGCATTTCCTCCAACTCCTGAGATTGTAAAAATGTTGAATCTCAGTGCCAAAGCTGATGAGTAACCGCTGCTCAGAGTTGTTCCATGAACTTAATACATGTTAAGGTTCTTCAGCAACAAGTTTCAAGATCAATTATCAATGTCCTTTATGAGCCTGGGTCACTGCAATGGCAACTGATATATTTGTTATCCCTGGCAAATAACATTTATCCAATGCATGAATTGTTTTTTGTTATTCTGGCCTTCCTAAAATTTTGTTATTCTCAGAAAGATTTAAGAGTAGGACTTCATATTTTTTAGATACAGTATTTTAACTACAATGACTAAAAGCATAATCGTATATTCTATATTAATGCTACAATGCTATAGAAAATTGCCAGATCTTTCCATTATGTCATCTATATTTGATTACCTACCATCCACATTTACACTAAATTCTTCTGAAAGTTCTCCATAATATGATCTCATTACTATCTACCTGCATATCTTATAATCACAACATTCCATGATAATTCTGGTCTCTGAACTTCTGGCCAAGTTTATAGATCAATGTTAACTTTGTCTATTAAACCAGATTTTACGGTCCTTAACATGTTAAATTCTATCTTTATCTTCCATACCCCAGGGCTGAGTATATTAATAGTTCAAAAATAGTGGAAAGCAGAGACAGAGATGAGTTATGCACTACAGTAGAAGCTATGTACTAATATAGGAGAGAAAAAAGAATTATGATTTTTAAGAACAGCATATGTAAGTATGTAGATATTTCAAGGATAAAAGAAAGGCTTGTGGATACAAGGAAAAGGAAGGTACTATATATCCCATTATACAAGAACAAGTCATGGGTAAAGACTGGGAGAATAAGGTCAAGGAGTTAATTTTGAGACTTCTAAGGATTTGAGGTTTTATCTACAAAGCAAAGGTAAAATACGAGGGAATTCTCATCCTACTCCCTCAATCTTCTCCAAAAGCAAATGACAAGATCATTTTGAAAGAATAGTATAGGAAATAGTCATGTGGGAAGTTCACCAGTCTAGTGATGAAAAAGTGATAAACAGCTGCAAAAAGGTTGTGAGCAAAAGGGCTACAGGGATCTATAACTTATTCCACTACTGCTCTGTGCCCTGGAAGTGCAGGAGTTGAAAAAATAGGCAGCAGGGTTATTAATGTTAGGAATAGATATGGAGACTTTCTCTGCTTCTTGCATATTTTACAGGACTCAATACTCAATAGCTCTCTCCGGCTCTACAGCTCACTACATTTTACAGAAATAAAGTCCTTTCCCCCTTTCTACTCACTGAAAATATATTATGGTCACTCCTTTTAGACTTTACATTTATAAACTCAAAAACAGTAGGGTTAAAATCTTGGCCAATTGCATTCTCTCCAAATGTAAAGCACAGAATCTGGCTTGTTGAATATATTCGATGTTTGGTCCTTCCCTTTGACTCCTTTAATCAAGAGAAGCACTAATAATTGACTTTTTAAAACTCTTAAGAAAATTTTGACAATGTGATTTTCTTCTCATGAAAGAAAAACGGAAGTATAAACATATACACAATAAAGTTCCCTATTCATCTTTAAACATCAATAAATATCATCTGAATACACTAAGAACAAGGATCTCTATTTCCAGAATGGTATCACCTTTCTTTCCATTTTATCAAATTTTATGTTGAAAAATTTCAGATAGAAAGTAAACTAAAATAGCAGGGGGGAAAAAGACATCATAAATCAACAATATATAGTAGGGGTAAATCTTTAAACCCCTACTAATGGTCCACAAATCTTCAAACCCCTACTCACAGTCTAAAATTCTTGTAGTAAATGCTTGGGATTTATTAGTATCATTTTTAAAAAAGGACAAACTTCAAACTGATCTATGCAAAAAGAATTCTCTTTAAAGGAAAGCTTAAATCACATTTTTTTTGTGGTAAAAAACAATCATATAATTCTGATCAAAGTTCAAAGGTAAGGTATACTGATAAGAAATGAAATCATTTTGTCCCAACACTATCTACTTTCAGAATGTTATTTTCTTTAGTGCATTGTCAGCTATTTTTTTCTCACACTCATCTCCTTATAGTAAACAGAAATCAGAAAATAAACCCTCCAAAAGGAACAAAAATTAACCTGACACCGTTATGTCGTGTGAATATAAAGCTATTGACAGCAAAATATATGTATCTAACAACAAAAAAACACCCATTGGGCAATGAAGCCTATGTTTCTTCAAACTTAGAAATATTTTATGATTTGCGTATAATCAAAATTGTGGTAAAGTTTATGTCTATCAGAAAAAAAATATAGTCTAAGAACACTGGACTTTTCTAATAGGTCTATGTAACTTGAATACAAAAGTAATGAAGTCTCATAAGCACCAATGGCAGATTTATGTAGCATGCTAAAAATGCCAAAGTATAGCTATTATCACTTCTTAGATATCAAACCACCACACACCATTTCATTACTTTCTATGGATGTTCAATTCACAGTTTATTATTAACTGAGAATTAAAAGATCTAAGCCCCAAAAGTGACTGTACCATGCACAAAGTCTTGAAAAGCTGGGTCTCAACTAAGATGTACAAAGAGGGGTTAATCAAGATGATTTCTAAAGGCTCATCTAGTCTAATATTCTGCATTCTAAGTAAATGTGATTGTCTATTTTAAACTCCTCCTGGCTATTTCCTGTTGGAGCTATGAATGAAATGATCCAAAGGCAGAGGGATTCAATAGGAGTCTACATTGATTTACCAATTTAGTTGGTAGATAGCTTTTCAAACCCTAAAAATTATAATCACTACAGTTTTTTGTAACATAGAATAATCTAAAAACCACAACTCAAACTTTACAGCTGAGAATAAATCATGTGAGACTTGTAACATTTTATTTGTTAAAAATGAACAGCTTTAGAATAGATCTAAATGTAACTTTTCCAAAAAACACCAAAAAGTACAGTGTAAAGCATCTCCTCATTAAATACAAACTTTCATTTTGTGATGCACTGCATCAATGTTTTGCATACACCTTGATGCAAAGGAAATTTTAAGTTGCATCCTATTTAAAGAAAAACTTTAAGAACTGAAGGATGACTACAACCACATTCCAAGAAAGGAAATTTTCCTCCAACAAAGCATATTCTTTTGTTTATATACAACACGTTAGCACTGAAGAATTTTAACTTAGTTGTAACAAAACCAACATTTTATATTTAAAAAGAAAATGAAATTACAGATGCATGAAGAGCAAAAATTTAATATATCAAAGATGCTGTGTTGTTTGATGCACTTAATATCAATATTTGGGGAAATTTTTTAAGGTTTTTCAAAAAATGCATTAATAATAGCTCTGTACAATATTTAAAACAAGAAAATTAAAAATGAAATGTATTGTCACAAACTGCTCTACAGACAGCAAACTCGTGCTCAGTTGTTTCTCCTTTGCTTTAAAAATAAGCTATCAGTAATTCTAAACCAGTCTAAAATGTATTGTTCATGGATCAAATTTAAGCATTCATACTTGCAAAAATGTTTTGCAATGAGTCCTTGGCCTAAGGAGAGATTAGAATTTATTTTCAAATTGTGTGACTGGCCTCCAAAAATCCTTATCAGTAGACTTACTGGCAAAATACCAGATATTAAGGATCAGATTTAATTCTTTGGTATAAGCATGAAAATGTTTTTGATAGCTTTCCATGGCTAGCATGAGCCAAGTAACCCAAGGAGCATGGGAGACAACAAGGAAATCTAGTATATAATGCAAGGCAGGAGCGATAATAACTTAATGTTTTGTTCTGTTTTAATACAGGGAAAATCAACACTAATAATTCAATTTAGGGAAGCTAACACCTACTTAGAGGTTTTAACATTATAGCAAACCAAAAAGTTAAGCTTCAAAATGACCTAACTTGTAGCTGAATATTTTGCTGCATGTTGGCATTATATTGTTAACTTGTAGTATACAACCATCTGAGGACTCTTAGCACTAGCATGGCACAACTCTCTCTTCCTATCCCTCAAGAGTATAGGGAGTGGGGTCGGGGGGCGTGTATCTTTTCTTATCATAAATGCCTGAACTTTAAATAAAGTCAGAATGAAAGGTATAAAAAACAAGGTGACAATTTAACTCTATTACCACTTTGCATTTTCTTTCTTTGTGATATATACAAGTTATGTTTAATTTAGCAAGTTTTAATGCTTATAAAATTTAACTTTTCAAATAAGAAGTATAGGACTTTATGGCTATTAATTTTACTATCAAAATATCTAAGGGACTCAACCCATTTTAATTATTATAATTTTTCAAAAGTTATCATTTAAAGAATTCTTTGTGGACACTAGACTCAAGATTACACTAAATTCAAACAGTATACCTATGACCTTGGTTTTAAATTTTTTCACCTCAGTTACCTGCCTTCAACCTACCTCCTCCTCTCATGCTTTCTTCATTTATTTACACAAATTGTCAGATTTTTTACATTGGACCTTCTCCTCTCTAAGGGTCTATTAGATAACTTTGAAAACAAGCATTTATAGCCTTCAAACAGCAACATTTTAAACTGAGATTAATGCCTAAGGTCACATTTCTTGTTAAAATTTCAACTTTAAAGGTTTACAACTCTGAAAGATTAACCTTATACTATCTGAAAAATGAGCCAAGTTCCAGATATTATCATAAATCTTAAAACCCGAAAGTGAAATTTTAATTTTTTAAAATATCTCTAATGAGGCAAAGTCACCTACACTTATATCAACACTATTTAAAGAATAAGTGACAGCAACAAAGGGACCTACGCTTATTTCTGAAGATCAAGATTTACCATGGCAAAGTGTAAAAAATGGGCAAAAGGAGATGAGATCCTAAATACCACTATCATAAAAATAATCAATTTCTATCCTTCTGCTGTATGAGGAACCAATGAAATCTAATAGAGAATTGTTTTATCTGGGCCAACCAAGAAATCTTTAAGAACAGATAGGTATATTCCCCGTTACTCTTTCAGGGCATTATTTATACACGTTAAAAAAACAAAAACTTCAAAAAATAAAAATAAGAGTAATTTAGCCTTGTAAATATTTTGAAATAAAGTTTCTTGAATTTCTGTGACAAACTCTTCAAGCAATTCAACTGTTTTAACAGTCATCACTCCAAAGTCCCTTTGACATAGGATCTATCCCACGGTAACAAAGCGGCTTCCTCCTTTGTTGAACGTGAGAGTGGCTCTTTGTTCCTTTAGGATCCCAAACCGCTCATTCAAAGTCATCCCTGTCTAGAGAAAACAAAACAAAACAAAAATTAACAAATTGACTATAAGCCATATTTGCTTTGGAACAATGTGATGGTATATAATGGTAATTCATAGTAACAATAGCTAACATTTTCTGGATATTTGTATATGAACTCATTTAATTCTAACAAAAACCATATGAAATAGGTCAATTTAGTGATGTTTAGAGAAGTTAATTTGCCTACTTGCAGTTCCAGAAGTTAAACCAAGCAGTCTGACTCAGAATCTCTATCTCCTAACCACTATGATGCCTACATTATACACTACATAAAACACATATACTATTATGCCTACAAGTCATACACCCAAAGCTTTCTCTATCTAAATTATTTTTAGGCTCTGTAAAAACACTGCCATCAACTCTAGTGATGCTTGATAAAGTAAGCGTTATTTGGTCTTGCGAAATGTTGAAATAAATTTTCTTGAATTTCTGAGCTCTTGAATATCTGTAAACTCAAAAAATCAGATTCAAATCAAAATCTGGTTTTTGATTAACAACAGAAAGCACACTCAAATTATACTTCACCATTTCTGAAAGGAAAGTAACGATAAAGTAAAAATAAACAAATTAAATTTGGTCAAATTTCTGTCCATACTTTGTATCTTCAATTCCATATATTTCTATGTCAATGGATACAAAAAGAGCATTTGACAAAATCCAACACCCATTCATGATAAAAATTCTCAGCAAATTATGAATATAAGGGAATACCCTCAAGGCAGGCATACATGCTCTAACCACTTCTATTCAATATTGTACTGAAGGTTCTAGCCATTATAATAAAGAAAAGGTTTGAAGATTGGAAAGGAATTTGAGAATGCCGTGATTGTTTACACAGAAAATCCTAAGGAATCTACAAAATTACAAAAAGTAGTTAAGTATATATTAGGAAGATCACAAGATCCAAGTTTAACACAAAAACTGTCAAACTACAGTGTGATTTTTCACTTCCACACACTTGGATGGCTATAATCAAATGACATAATAACTGTTGGTGAGGATGTGGAAAAATTTAGAACCCTAATTCATGCTGGCAGGAATGTAAAATAGTACAGCTACTTCTATGAAAAAGTCTGGCAGTTCGTCAAAAGGTTAAACAGAGAGTCACAATGTGACCTAGCAATTCCATTCTCAAGTATTTACCAAGGAGAAATGAAAAATAAACTCACACAAAAACTTGTACATGAATGTTCAGAGGAACACTATTCATAATAGCCAAAGAATGAAAACAACACAACTGTCCATCAACTGATAAATTAATAAAATATGGTACATCCATATGATTTAACATTATTCAGCAATAAAAAAGAAATGAAATATTGGTGCACCATGGATGAACTCTGAAAATACTATGCTATGAAAGCTGCCAGTCATGAAACAGCACATATTATATGATCTCATTCATATGAAATGTTCAAAATAGACAAGTCTATACAGAAAGTAAGTAGATAAATCAGTGGATTCCTAGGGTTGAGGAACTTAGGCCACCCTATTTAATTCATTATACATTTGTTTTGTTAACTAAAATATGTGAATGGCACAAAGAAATACAGGGAAAAAAATTTACCTGTTTTCCAACACTATTTATGTCAAACTGTAGGGGGACACCTTTAGGAACTTTCTTTACATCAGACTGCTCCCGTTTTGTCAAGAATGAGGGCACAGCAGTACGAGTTAATCGTGGTTTCTGAGTTCTATTAGCAAAAATTTAAATGAAATTAGACCAGCTTAATCAAAAGAAAAAAAATAAATCATTTGATACATAAGATAGCTTGACTTGTACACATGTTCAAATGTAGGGCTATTTCATTTGTGTTCCCCTAAAAAAGTACATGGTTCTTGACTGACTAATCTAGAAACTAAAATTTATAATCCCTCATAGAATACTTCCTTAAGATAAAACTATAAACTTTTCAAGAATTTTGAATGATTGATGATTTCCAAGTTTTGATCTTCGACTTAAATAAAGCAACCTCTGAAGTCTCAGAGACCCATCTTACGTTCTTTTCCATCATTAAAATGGCTGGATAGATCAAAAACTCCATAAACCCATGAAGTTTATAATACATATAATGGAACTGTTAACTAGATTAAGGTATTTTAGATAAAAGAAAACGCTATGGGGACTTTTATTATTATACATAAAAAGTAGAAGTATGTATTATTTGTTATACATACACCAAACTTTTAAAATAGAAATATGAAATTGTTAAAAGTGGTCATTTTAGGTCTATAGAACAGGAGTCAAGGGAGCTTTTAACTTTATACTATTTCTATTTTGTACCACAAGTATTACTGTTATCCTTGTCTCAGTTTATCCTAACTTGAACATCATACTACGAGCAGAAGTCTAATACTTTTCTATTATTTTATATACTGAGACGTTATAATTTCTGCAAAAGAAAGAAAACACTTACAATGGGCACTGCACTGCTCCAGGGTTATCGATGGATACAGTCAAAATTCCTCCATTTGTGGTAGAAGTCCGCCATCTAGTTTCAAAAAACCAAAACCTTCATCAGAATGGAAGTTTATAAATCCTATAGTGTATGTAACAGAAAAAAATACATTCTAAAGTAGCCATTACTTTTTCTTAGCTTTTAAGAAATACAAGTACTCATGCCCACCATGATATATGTAATTAATCAGCATCTTGGGTGTAGGAACTAGACACTTTATTAAATATTTTTTCAGTGTAATAAATATGTGAACATTTTTTAAAAAATCAATAATACAGAAAGGCTTCTAATGAAAAGCAACAGCCCTTCACCCCACTATTCTCTTCCTTTCTGCTCCCTAAAGGCAGTACTTTTAACCTTTCCTGTTTTTACTGCTGGCTAGTTTCCAGTTCACTAAACAAGATGCTTCTATAATGATATCTTGCTATGATTAGGATTTAGCTCATCACACTACCCACTTTGGTTTTCCTACCTAAGGCCATATCACTATTTTACTTCCACTATAACTTTAAATACACTTAAATCCCTTTCTTTCAGTAATGTCTCGATACCATCTCCTCCACTTCTTATAATAGGATAGTAGCACCTCTATTCCTGCTTTCTACCTCTTCTTCTACTTTTGTATTTCCCATTTTTTATCAATTCTACTTTTATGTTAGTCAAAATCTGACATTTACATTATATTCAGTTACCAAATTAAGAATTTTGTGCTTTGTTCCATAGTTAATTCTCAAAGTTCAAAACAAACAAACAGCATTCATATTATTGCAACTATGTAAATATTATTCATGCAGAAGCAAACTATGAGTAACATTTTCTTCCTCATGGTTTCCAATGTCATTACTTCTGTGCAAAAGAATACAGCCAGCATCAAGTTTCCTTTCTTACACTCTGATTGCTCAAAATCATGCTCCATTTTAGTTGGCACAATATCTGGAACATGATGGGGGTTTTGTATGTATAGTTTTCCAAAAAGTAGCCATAATTTTAAATAGTCTAATCTCAAAACCTGATCATATTGATGAAATTAGAATGTTACAACATACTTTGGAAGTGCAGTTCTAACAACAACAAAAAATTTAAAAAATAACTATAGGGATAAGGGGAAAACAGGGTGAAAAGAAAAAAATATTCTATTGTTTTAAAGGTCTACGAAATTTCTAAAAGCTCTACTAGATTTTCCTCTCTTATTCCCTCAATAGGTTCATTGGTATAATAGCAGTTGTAGAAAATAAAAGAGCTATTTCATTAAAATAGATTAGACAATTGAAAAAATTAACAATAAAGCAATGTATTTGGTGCTAAAATTGTTAAAATACTACTGTATTTGGTGCTAAAATTGTTAAAATACTAATGTGAAAATATAAAAAGTTTTTGAGGAAAATATAGTAAAAAAGGATTTATTTATTTCAGGCCTAATGTTTAATTTACTTTGGGTCTCATTTAATTTCTTTTGGACTAAGGCACAAAGTAATTTGGGTCACTAGTATTCTGGGAGTTTTGAAATGACATCTTGAAAAACAAATTGAAACTTACTGACGAGTTCTCTTTGCTACTACATCATCTAGCAGTTGTTCTGTGTTCAACTGGGCCTGAACCTGAAGGGGAAAAAAAGCAGAAGATCTCACACCAAACAGGATTTGAACCCAAAGAGCTATCCTCCTAACTTTATAACCCAGTGTGATATGTGTATAAATACAAGAGTGGCGTGTGCCTATTCTGGCGACACCTCTTTGTTGGCGTTCCTGAACCACAAACAAGTAATAAAAACAGGTTTATTCCAAACAACATGTTAAATTCTTATAAGATGATGCTATTGAAGACAAGAGAGAATCGGGTGGGCAGGGGGGTGTGGGTGAGTAGCTAATCTAATGTTGTGTTCTCCATAACCCAAACCCTTCCTCAACCACGGGCCATTCCTATCATTTGAGGATTACTAAAAGTAGATGTTTAGGATCCTTTGGGTAAAAAGAAGACACCACCGCAAGTTTTTTATACCTTCAGGCCTCTTCTGAAAAGAAAAGTTGCTTGACGAGTGTCTTTCTGATGATTTAATTTATTTCCACTCTTGGTATAATTGGCTGAAATGTTATTTCTGCAACAAAAACACATATACATGAATTGTCTCAGCCACTTAACAACTTTCAAAGAAAAAAATAAGCAAAAATAAATTCACAGGCTGAAAATTTGAGGTATATTAAACATAAAAATTGAACTATTTCCTTATTTATACCAAGCTATGGAGATTTGATTTACAAATATCTCACTCTGTACCATATTATGTAACAACTTGCTTAATTCTGAACTAATTTATCTTAGAGATATTCAACTCTCTAATATTACAAACATGTAAGATCTCTTCTGGACATTAAAAAACATTTTTAATGCTATTTCTTAAATTTGGCAAAAGACATAAGTACAGATTTATTTACAAGATTAGTACAGCACATCTGCTGGTAAAATGTGAGAAAACAAATTTTTACACTTATCTACTCATTTATTTTTATAAATAAATGCTTAACATGTTGCCTAATTTTACCACTACTCTTACCATACTCAAATACAAAATATCCTTAGCTAGCCCAATTAACATGGGCTCATTAATGAATGGCTCATGTAATTGACAAGTTCTTATTTGGGAAGTTCCCGTTTTCCAAAAGGTACTACTAAATGATTCCCAAAAGAAAAAGTAATGATAATTAAGTAAAACTGCAATACCAGCCATTCCTTTTATAATAAAGACTTCATTTCAGGGTTTTTGTTTGTTTGTTTTGAATTATCTTCTATATGAGATGAATAAGCAGTACTTGAAACTGAAATAAAAAGGCAACTTTGCAGCCTGTCAACTTCCTTTTTGCCCACTTTATCCTTAAAGAGAACAGAATACCATAATAATAGGTCTTAATTTTTAAGTTTTTGTTATGGCTTTAAATTTAAATTAAAATAATCTCAACTTGAAGAGCACTCATGTAGGATTTTTTCTAGTCTGCTTTTTCCACAAATTTCATCATTCTATTTAAGAGCTTTTGAGACTAAATAATGAATTCGGCTTTCAGAATTCCCAATTTTGAATAATTTTGGCTGAGCTGTTTTTAACAAAACAATTACCTTTTGCAATTTTATTTTATGTCAAGAGAAAGAAGTAGAGTGATGCTTTCAAAAAAATTTTATAATTAAATTCATCAATAACGTTGAGTCTAAGAAATAAAAGTTATTTGTAAATGCTTCCATATTGGATGATCTGATAGACATCTGATACCTGTCTTGAAAATGACCAGATAACTATAAGAATCACTGAAAATCCATTCTTTTGAACACTTAGGCAAGAAGTTTATTTTTATGCAGGATAACATATTATTGTCTTACATTTGAGCACTTACTTTCTATTAAGCTGGTTAGGTCTCTTAAGAACTGTAACTGGTTTTCTTTGCGCTTCATTTTGTCTCAGAAGGTTTGCCTTCCTTCTTAATGCTGGAAAATATCGTTCTATATTCTTTCAGAAGGAGAGAAACTACATTAATCTAATTGTTTTTTTTGCTATAAAGCCTATTACAATAAATATTTCTGAGGCAGAATGGACAGAGTCTGATCACAGCTTAGCTGTGCAGGTTAGAGACAGAAAAGCTTAAACGACTTGAATATTTTCAATCTAAGTGACTGAAAAGACAACCACATTATACTTAAAATATGTGCAACAAAAGGAGAATTTGAAAAGAAAAATAAAGTTTTTCTATTGTGCATCTGTTCACAAGTGGATGTTCAGGATCCTTTGGGTAAAAAGAAGACACCACCACAAGTTTTTTATACCTTCGGGCCTTTTCTGAAAAGAAAACGACTCCTCTGTATATACAGCAACAACAAATTTTTTTTAAGTTCACACAAGTACTAAATGATTTCGTATTATCAGAGTCAAGTTAAAAGTTCTACAGAGCATAACATACCCTCAGTTTTGGAAAATTCTGAATCGAAAAGGGAAAGTTATAGAACTGACACTGACAAAGTTCTATGTTCCAGTAGAAGAACCCCCTGAATAACTTAAACACAACTTTTACATGATAGATATTTTTAGCTGACTCTAATCAAAAAGAAAAAAATCATTCTTAGAGATAACCATTCCCCTCTTAGTACATTTATTAGTAATGTAAATGAGTATGCTATCTTTTCCACTTAGTCATTCACTCCATAGGCAAGAAAACATATACTTTTATTGGAATAAAATTTCATTGATTTATATAAACTAAGGAAGAGATAAAGTAACAGAAAATTGAACTATGGTCGGAACTATCTTTTAAGTGCAAAATTTCAAAAGACATATAGCAATTCAAGGTCAATTAAGTTATTTAGGTGCCTTGTTCAATGAACGGGAAAGGATGATATGAGTTATACGTAAACAGAATTTTCTTAAATGGCTGGAAAATAATCAGCTTCGCAACTACTGTATTGTACCCTAATCAGACTATTAATCTGTATTCAGGTTGAGGAAAAGGTTTTCAAAAGAAACGGCAACTTTCAAACCATGTCTTTGCCAAAATCATTTAAACTTTGAATAAATAGATCTTCTTATTCAGTACATTCTTAGCATTCTATAATTTAACACTTTCAATTTTCACTCTTCTCAAACAACTACCACATGTGATAACTTAAAATTTTTACTGGCGCAAGTAATTAGTTAGCAGTTAAACCCAAACTCCCTTCCAGTATCCATATCTCATTAATTTCTAATTTCTAATAAGCAGTAAGTTCTGTGCTGAAGTTATAGAGGCAAGAACATCTGTTGGTGGTGTGGCAGAATTGAAAAGAGATCTAAAACAGTTGTGGTTCTTAACCAGCATACGCGCACTTAAGGTCATTTAATAAATAAATGTCTTGAATTTTTTTACATGTATTACTTTCATAATCAGAGAAACAAAAAGGATTAAAAAACAGAAGAATAGAACATTAAATTCCTTGGTGGCTCAGATCTAATAAACGTAATACACGAAAACCCATTTGTTAAACTATTTTAAGGAATGCTTTAGCCAATTCAAAAATTACTCATTAAGCTGTACGTAAACTGGTTAACATTTAAGAAGCAGTTAACTTATGGTAGTAAATAATTGTAACTAATTAAAAATATCAAGCAGGGAATAGTGATCATTTCAAGAGAAAGGAAAACCTATATCCATACAAATTTATAGGTGAATGTTCACAGCAACATTATTTATGATACCTAAAACGTGAAAACAATAAAAATGCCCAACAACTGGTGAATGAACAAAATATGGTATATCTGTATAATGGAATATTACTCCATAATAAAAAGGAATGCAGTATTGATACATGCTACAATATGATGAACTTCAAAACATTATGGCTAAATGCTAGTCCACATATTATTGTAAGATTCCTTTTATATGAAATGTAAAGAAAAGACAAAATTATAGAAAAGCTAAAATAGATTAGTGGTTGCCTGCGGCAGATGATGAAGTATGACTGCGAATGAACATAACATTTCTTCTCAGAGTGATAGAAATATTCTAAATTTAGATTGTTGTGATGATTATATAACTAAATTTTCTAAAATTCATTGAACTGTACATTTCCTAAAATTTATTGAATGTTTAAAAAATTAATTTTATAGTATAGACTTACACCTCAATAATCCGTTAAAAACTGTACACACACACAACGAGAAAGTCAAGAACTTATTTAAAATTTTTATATTTGAGAATATGGAAATTAAGATACTGTTCATGAACGACAATGGTTTTTATCTAATCATTAAATTTTTTATATAAACCCCAAAGTACTACATAATCAAAATATTCAAATAAATGCTCTCTCAAAGTCATTCACAGAAATATTCATATGAATAAAGTAAAAGGGTATCTGACTCAGGATTAAGCCATCATCTTACCTTGTCACTTAGAGGTGGCCGATTCATAGGGCTAATTCCTTTTCGAATTCCAGTTGCTTTTCTAGCGGCAAGGCCAGTGATAACTCCATAAGGACGTTTCTTTCCAGGCATCGCTCTTCCTCTACGGCTCAGACTATTTTTACCAAAACCTGTGGGACAGGGGGGAAATAAAAAGAAGAAATAATACCCAATTAATAAAGAATGCAACTGAGAAGCACATAGGTCACAAGATATTTTATTTCTTAAGCAAGATGAAGGGTGTGTTTCATTTTTTATTTATTATGATTTATACAATATTCCTTATAGTATTGTTATTATTTATATGTATTTTTAATTACATAAAAGATCTCATTTTTAAACAGGCAATAAGCTGCACTGGAAATGGTTCTGTTGTAGTAATAGACTGCAAAGGACCTGAAGATTTTCACATTTCCCCTCTAGCTACCATCTCTCTTTGGCATTACTCTGTCAAGAAAAAGGACAGCCTTAACTTCCCCTGTGCAATGTGGTAGCCACTAACCACATGTAGTTATTGAGTACTTGAAATATGACTAGTCCAAAATGATATGAACAAAAGAATGTATACTATTTCATTAATAATTTTATATTATTATGTTACAATGATATTTTGGATATATTGGGTTAAACAAAATATATTATTATGTGATCACATTTTATTTCTAGAGTGGAATCTCTATCTTTATCTCCTACTTACTTACTACATTGCAATCTGGCTTCTTCATTTTCAGTTCTACTGTATTCAAACTGCTTTTGTTAAAGTCCCCAGTGAGTTCTAATGGACATATTTTAATCGCTGTGGCATGTAACATTACTGACCTTGCTTTTTCATTATGCATCTTACCTATTTAAATACTTTCTTTTAATTCCGAAATAATAAATGTGCTCACTGCAGAAATCTTAGAAACATAAAGTACAAATGAGAAAATAAAAGCCACTCCCTATTTCACTATCAAGAGATAAGCACTACTAACATTCTATGTCTTTCTAGTCTTTTCTTTTACTTGTATATGTACATTTAAAAAGTTTACATCTTTAGTTTCAACTATTTTTAAACAACTCCAAAGACTATCATATGAGGTAAATCACAATTTTGTAGTACCAAGTGCCTAAAAGATAGACTGATTCAATCTTCCAGCAACCACATTTCATACTCTACATACTATTTTATAGTCTATATTAACACTATATAATGACTATTACCCAGGTATTTAATATTCTTTTGTTGCATTTTTTAATGTGCCATACTCGATCCTACCAACTTCATACTAATTGCTTGTTACTTCTAATGTTACGCTATTATAAACTACATTGCAATAACATTACAGGTCATATTTTTATACACATTCATGATTACTTCCTCAAGATATAAATCTCCAGAGGCTGAAATGCTGTTTCAAAAAGTAAAGCAAATTCTTAAGGATTCTAATTTATATTGTAAAAATCCCCTCCAGAATGACTATATTTTTATATTCCCAGAAACATAAAGATGCCACTTTTTCCATATCACTGACAACTCTGAATATTATTCTTTTTAATCTGTATCACTTGGTATTTAAAAAAATCTTACTGTCCTATTTGGTAGTTTACTAGTGAGAATGAATATTTTGATGTGTTTTTGGCTACCTGTATTCTTCCATTCATGAACTCTCAGAAATTCCTGAGAGCCATGCTAAGTAACAACTGTGATACTGGGCATTCTTAATATTAATTCTAATTTTGAGAGGATTGTCTTTAGAATGGTATCCTCTATAATACTACAAACTGGAATATAGTAACAGGTTTTCCAACAGAAAAATTTTGTGATAAAACTAAAGTTCGAAGTTTTCTTTATTATAAAATTTCTTAGGATTAATGTATATGAAAAATCTACGAGGGATAATAGTTTATGTCATTCACAGACTTACCTAATTCCAGAATGCTTTTGTGTAGTATACCTATTTTGAGACGAGTTCGACAAGACAGCCAGGAAAACCTGTTATATTATGATGGTTGAATCAGTTACAAATTTACTGCCTTTCAGCCCCCAATTCACTCTTTACTGCCCTGCTTTGGTTACTGGAACATTTTTCTTACCAGCTGGCACCAGGAAAGCTTGTCAGTAGAGGGCGCTAGAGGGACTCTAGAGGAAGAAGGGGCTTTTCTTTCAGGTTCCAGTGTGCACCTCAAGACTTGTTCCTTGTGGCATAGGACACCCAATGGCATTCATTACCCTTACCCCACAACCTGAGACTAGTGAGGCAAGAGAGGCAGCTAGGACACAAAATTTGAAAGTGAATAATGCCTTAAGTTTGGGGTTTTTAGGTTTCTGTCTAGATCTAGACCTAAGTATCGTTAAGGTCTGGCCCTACTCCCGCTTCAGTGAATTAATAAGCTGCATCCCCTCCCCGCCACAGACAGCTTCTACCAGCATGGTAACTCAGTTAGTTGGTGAGGAGTTCTTCCAGACCTGTTCCTTTCTTGGGTGCTCTGCCTCAGCACAACCTTTTACTACCTTTATAATTTTTTAAAAGAGCAATAAAGATACAATTTTAAAGATCAAGATATTGCGTCCATGGCCATGCCACCCTGAACAAGCCCGATCCCATCTGATCTTGGAAGCTAAGAAGGGTTGGGCCTGGTTAGTACTTGGATGGGAGACCACCTAGGAAGACCAGAACTGTAAGCTGACAAGGTCTTTGCAATCTGTGAGGTCAACCAAGTGTTGCCTCACTTAAAAAAAAATCTAAAAAATTAAAAATCAAGTTATTGCTGCTCTATGGATGATTTTCTTCTATAATTGCAACCAAATGAAGATTAAGCATGTTGGGGGAACCTGCACATTCAAATTAAATCTACAACTATTTGCTATTTTTATTTGTATTAAATGAAGCAGCTACCATTAACTGTGCTAAGCATTGTGCTGAATACTTGAGCCTAAATGAAACTTGATGAGGTTGATGCTACCATTTCAATTTCTGCAGGTGAGCAAAGTGAGGCAAAGAACAGTGACTACCCAGAAGTCATAGTTAGAAAATGGAAGAGCTATGATCCTAAGAGTAAGTTTGTGTGGCTCCAAAAACTGAACTTTTCCTATTATATAAAAATTAAAGAATAATAAAAGGTATAATATAATCTATGGTACAATTCCAAAGAGAAAAAACTAATAGAAAAAGTGGGCTCCAGGCTACGTATTTCAGAATAGACAAGATTTGAATAGGGATATAGACATGAAGTGACAAGAACAAAGATATGACCAACTATAGCATACTGAAAGAAGAGACATTCTTGGGAAAAGGATTAGAAGTGAATAAATGGGGTGGGCTCAAGTAAGAGGGCTTTAAGTGGAGATAAAGACTACACCTGACAAGGAATAAGGGGTCATAGAACTTGTGATCAGCTTACATCAGTCTAGAAGCAATATCTTAAGATTGAATAGGAGACAGAGAGAGAAGGCAGTGAGGCCATTTCAGAAGTTATTGTAGCACTCAAACATGACTTGATAAAGGACCAGAAGAGGAACAAAGAAATTTTAAAGTACTATATTCCAAAGAATTAATGAATTATTAGAGCAAAGAGAAAGATTAAAGAGAGGAGGAATCCATTGTTATACCAAAGTTTTTAGTTTACCTGAGAAAGATTCATGAGAAAGTCTTATGAACAAGAATAAAATTGATTAAAAGGAAAAAATATGGGATAGAACTCTATCTCTGGGTACCTTCTATTTCTGACAGTTCTAGTCATTGTTCTGATACTCATTAACCTTTCCACTGTCTTTTATTTCTCATCAGTGGCTTCTTCTCTACCTTCTAGCAGACAGGTCACCCTTGACCCCTCCTCTCCCTTTTCTACCTTTGAATAAACTTCAGTAGCCATATCTCAGTTTTAGCAATTGTTCTATTTTTCACTCTTCATTGTTATGTTTCATAAACTAAGAAAGACCTACACACACTGCCTCAATTCTCTCCTTCATTACCCACTATAACTGCCTTATATTCTAAAAAGCGCTATGAAGAGGTACTAGTGCCATCATCTAATGCAATGGTCTTTTCTTAGTTTTTATCCATTTAGCCCCTCTAGAAAGTTCTTTTTTGTCTTTCCAGGGCACTTTCATTCTCATTACTTCAACTACTGCCTCTATGAAGATCCTGTCAATTTTCAGCTCCACTACAGCAGCAGTTTAACACTAGCAGTGTATCAGAACCATATACTGAGCTTTAAAAAAATCCCTTGGGCCTACTACTGCAAATTCTAGTTTGATAGAAATGTAGTGCAGCAAGAGTATCTATTTTATAAAGCTCCACAGGTGCAACCAAGGTTGAGAACAACTAAAACTAGAGACAGAATTTTTCATCTTTCCTTTGAATCTTTAGCCCAATCCACTCATGAATTTCTTTCACACACACACATCTGATTGCCTCAATAATTTCTGGAGTCTGATCACTTATATTAAGATATGTAGAGTTTTCTGAGAAATATCATATCACAGAGTGTATGCAATGCAATCATATTACTGACTCCTTTCCGATGCAACATACAAATATTTTCTGTCTCCTGTACCTCTAAAAGAAACAGCACTCTCAAATTTTTTGGTCTTAGGACCTCTTTATACTCTTGAACCCCAAAGAGTTTTTATTTCTGTGGGTTTATGTTTACTGATACTTACCAAGTTAAAACTAAGACATTTTAAAATTATTATTTCATTAAACCAATAATAAACTACACATGTAGGGTAAATAACATTTTTAGTATTAAAAAAATAACAATTATTTTTCTAAAATAAAATAAATACTTGTGAGAGTAGCACTGTTTTGCATTTCTGCAAATCTCTTTAGTGTCTGGCTTATCTCAGATAGTTATATTAGTATTATTATAAAAATACTTTTGACTTTGTAGACCCTTTGAGTCCTGGGGATTCCCCAAGGTCCCTGGCCAACACTTTGAAAACCACTGCTATATAGTATTCCATCATTGAAGGACATTTACTGAGTAACTAAATTATATTTTGGGCACAGAATTAGGAATATTACTCAGTTATTTGTTCAGTCATCAAAAATTTATTGAGTATCTGCCAAGGGCTCTCTGTCCTACTTGTGCTCTTACATCAAACTAACATCTTCACTGACATTACAATGTGGAAATCTGCACTTTCCCTAACCAATCAGAGCTTAAGACAATCCCATATTTATCTGCACATTCACTGACAGCAGCAGCTGTTCTATTTTAGGCCCTCTCACATGTAAGTGGAGAACATACAAGCACCAAGTTCTATCTTAGCCCTACCTGAAGTCCTACATCAGAATTTCTTTTATGACGTTTCTCAATCCTCTGTTTTTATCTTACCTCTATTACTAGAAATTCCTTCAAGTAAAAGGCTGCATCTTTATGTACACAGAGAACCTGGTCAGTTCAGAGCATTTATCAAGTATTTAACATACGGTTAACATAAATGGGTATATTTCTGGCTTCTACGAACTCTAAGTAAGATTATTTTAAAACAAATTGTATATAAAATATGTAATAATACGTAACATTTATAAGAAATCTTAAAAAAAAACACAATTTGGGGATATGTTGGCATATTAGCTGTTAATCAAAGAACTATGTTGACCCACTGGATTTTTTTATGTTTTTCAACATACAGGATAAGAATCAACTTAGCTAGCTTATCAAACATGTTTTCATGTGTAAAAAGTTCTAATTTTAAAATTTTGAACAAAGGTTTATTCTAAAATGCTGATATGACTGCTAAAAAAGTTGAGTCATATATAATTAAGCATTCAGTTACTGCCTTAAATCCATTTTGGAACAAGACACTTATATATAAATAAGCTTCCAGATTACCAAAAATACCTGTATAGGGAGAGTTCCAAAATCATCAGATCACATCTAAAGCATTTAGTTCTGAATGTCACCTTTGGACGATTTAACAAATCCTAAAGGTACTGAATAAGATTTTCTTTGCAGAATAGCAGTCTCTACATATTTAAAAGGTTTTCATATAGAAAAGGGAGTTTGCTTCATATAATTCTGTAGAATAGGTAGGCATGATTTAATTCAAATTCAAATCAAGAGAATTTTCTGGTAAACAGAACTGTCTTCAATAATAGAATAAATTGTCTTGCGAGGTGGTATGCTCTTTCATGGAATATATTCAATATACTCAAGCTGGAGTTTATACAGTCATCCATCAGACACACTGTTAAAGAACATCTGTCTACGGCATGCCACCCCTGAACAAGGCCAATCCTGTCTGATCTCGGAAGCTAAGCAGGGTCGGGCCCAGTTAGTACTTGGATGGGAGGCCACCCAGGAAGACCAGGTGCTATAGGCGTAAAAAATAAAAAAAAATAAAAAAAATAAGGGACTGTAAGCTGACAAGGTCCTTGCAATCTGTGAGGTCAACCAAGGGTTGCCTCGCCTAAAAAAAGAAAAAGAAAATAAAAATAAACGTCTAACAGGAAGGAGATAAGACCTCATGATACATAAGACCTTTACCTATCATGTTCATAATTTATAATTTAAATGCACTTTAGACTATTTGTATACTGAAGTTCCTTTGAAATGACTTAATGTTTATAAGAAACAGTGCTATCAACTATTTAAGGCAACTTAAATTTTTACCAGATTTTAAGATTTAAGCTTTAGAGAAAATACAAATCACAACGGGTACTCATATTCTTCCTCCATGTTTTAAGTATATACTAAAGATAGTATACTGTGAACCCATAAATAACAGCTTCTCATTCTTATTTGAAAAACTTACCAGAATTCTGTTGGATTCCCCATCGTACTCTCATCCTGAATTGCCGGGCACCATTTTGCTGGAGTCTTCTATTTAGTCGCGGGAAATTCTGCTTCTTTCCTTCCTTTCGATTCAATTTGATTATATCATCTGTGACAGAGGAAATGTGATTATTTATTTTCATTTTAACTTAATGACTCAATTACTCAGTCTCATTTTCTAGTTGATAGATTTCCATGTCCCTAATTTCTACTTTGAAAGCACTTCCACAAGAGAATAACAATGTTAAAAAGATATAAGCTCAAATCAGCCAATACACTTGGACCACTAAAGGTTTTGCAGAAAAAGTTCAAATCAACAGCCCAAAGCAGACCCATCAATTAATGAAAATACTATGTTATCCATAGTATTTCTTTCTTTCTCTGATAAATGTAAATAAGTGAAAGCCTGTTTACAAAAATTACTAATAACCAAAGAAATAACCACAGAAATCTCTAGTTTTTAAAGATGACTACCTTTCAATAAAACCACAGGCAGTCAAAAAACAAGTCATTAAATTAAGATTAAATTTCTAACTTCATCTCGATTCAGCAAATATTTATTAAGCATATACTATGCGCAATGAACATTCGTGGTAGGCTGTAACAGAAACAAACAAAAGTAAAATATGGTCCCTGTTCTCAAAATTAAACAAGCATCATAATAAAGATACAGTACAAAAAGAAAATACGATTGGTTTCTGCTCCTCTAGCAAAGTAATTCAGGGTTACCTTATTTTCCTTTCTACATTGCTCTAAGCTTCATTATTTCCAAAAACTCAAAAAGTGTCCCAAAGTAATCCACAAATATCATACTGTTTTTATAGCATAACAGAGCAATGTGAAGAACAGGAAACAAAATTATCTCGATTCCTATTTACATCTGTTAAAAGGAGGTGACTAAAACAGGAAATACTGAGTTAATAACATTGTAATTACTATGCATGCTGTAGATGTGTTAATAGACTTATCATGATCACATCGTAAAGTATATAAATGCTAAATCGCTATGTTGTACACCTGCAACTAATACAATATTGTATGCCAACTATACTTTAATAAATTTTTTAAAAGGTTACTAGAAGCCAAAATTATTCATTAAAGGAATGGCCAAACGATTTCTCCACAGTCCCAACTCCAGTATTAATTCTGATAATTGGAAACAAACAAATAAACCAAAGAAACTAAATGTGGTCAACAGCTTCTTAATAAAACTTGACAAAACTACTTAACCCCAGTGATTTTTCTCCAAACTGCTCTACACACGAATAATCTACCAAATATCAATACAATTAGTCTTTTCTGAAGTCAAAGAAGGAAACAGATTATAGAGATGCTTTCTTATGTATTACTACTCTACCTCACCTATCTGTAATCTTTAAGGCTCTTAATCACATTTGAACAAATATTTATATAAAATAACTCAAATCTCCCCCAAAGTACATTATCTTCTTGAAATCAATCCTTAAACTACAAAAGAGTTCATCAAAGTTAAAGACGCTCAGTTTTTTTTTAATAAGGTTTCATTAAAATCAGATTCATGAGCCTGTTAAACACTCAGTGAGCAGGAAAAAAAGTTAGACACTACTTTTGAAACACTACTTTTCTTTAACAAGGTGGTATTCTTCACCAGAAGACTAAAATCTCAGAGCCATGAGAGTACACCAAAAAAAAAAAAAAAAAATCAATATGGTCTGGGGACCATTAAAAAAAAGAAGGGGGGCAAGAATATAATTTCGACTAATCGGGTTAATTTTAAATTGAGTATAGAGTTTAAACATAACTAAAAATGAATAGTAGCAAAGAATATCAAATATAAATGTTTTATATTTAAATATTTTCTTACCTAAATCTTCAAGTTAAATGAGCTACTATGGCAGAGAGGATTCTTTCAATCTAAAAGAAGAGAATGGCTTTCTCCTACTCAAGAAGTAGATAGGGTAGGTATCAGAAGGGAAAAAAATGCATTATGATGAGCTACTTTAATAAAAAAGTTTCTTCCATAATACCAGGGCTATATATATGGTACTAATAATAGTAACAGTAGTAACTGAGTACTAACAGACATTGTTTTGACACGTATTCATTTAATTCTCACAATTCTATGAAATAAGTATTATAATACCCATTTTCAAATTAAGAAACTGAGCCACAATGAGGTCAGCTATTGGTAGTCTTGGCAGATAATCTACATGACTATTCATATAATCCTAGTAGAATCGATTAAAAAAAAAATAGATTCTAAAACCTCTATAGACCTGATAAAATGAAATATTCACAAAGCATAACAGTTGTCTAAAACAGGTATCTCTTCACCCTATCTCTGTAAAATTCTCACTAAAAACAAAAAGGCATCTGACATAACACTGAAGGGTCAAAAATTAAAAAATTGCTAAAACTGAGATATGGCTACTGAAGTTTATTCAAAGGTAGAATATGGAGAGGAAGGGGAGAGGAAGCTTGCTAGATGCTCTATATCTAACAGTTTATGTTCTTAGAGGAAAGAAGAGTCTGAGCTCTATTTTAGTTAGCTATCTACAGCACTTCATTTCTACCTTCGAAGAGAATTATCCCTCAGTTTCCTTCACTTGAACATCTTAATCACCAAACAAAATACATACAAATCCTGGAAACTTAAGAAATACATTGGTTCTGAAAATACTTGTTTAATACTTCCTGTAATACCTACAGCTTAGAGCTCTAGAGCCACACCAAAATCCTTGCTCTACCACTTAACTAGTTGTATGACTTTGCACAAGTTATTAATTTCTCTATGCCTCGAGTTTTGTAAAATGGGAACAATGGTTTATATAGTGTACGTGTATATGTAAATATAGTGCTGTGTACCAGGTACTGTTCTAAGCAGTTTATATATGCCTCAACTCATTTAATATTTACAGCAATCTCTGAGATAGATAAGCCTATTTTTATCAACTTTTTATAGATGAAGCACTGAGAAATAATTTGCCTATGATCACATTGCTATTAAGTGGCAGAAACAGGATTTGAATTGAGACTGCGGTTCTGGATTACATACTCTTCATCATTAGTAGCCCATACCTCACACGGTTATTGTGAGTATAAACTTAGTTAACACATAAAATGCTTAGTCCCGTGCCTGACAGGTAGTAAGCACTCAATAAATATTCGTTATTATATTTTCTCTTGGCCTTAGCACAAAAGATTTCTCATTTCTTTAGGGTTCACTACAGACCAGCAGTAAGACAAGACTTGAGGCCAAACCTATTATTTCTAATGATTTACTTAATTCATATATTGGGTTGACTTGTGGCAATCATTGAAACCAAGAGTTCTTGACTTCTGACTAAAAACTTTGAAGATAACCCACAAAGTAAGAAAAATAACCGCTCTCAGAAAAGTTACGCCTCTGTATCTACTGGCCAGCTACTACACAAATATCCCCAAAAGCGTAGTCCACAGAAAGAACAGGCAGAGATAACTACATCTAATAACATAAGTTGAATCTCGACAAAAATGGAAATCCTTTTGAACTAGCTAAGCCAGAGACTCGTGCCTCAGTAGTGCTAGGTCTCAATTTTTAATTGAATCGCCGATCTTCCGGCATTTTACATAATCATCACCAAAACACCCGCCCCTCTTAAACGTGCTAGATCCTGTGCTTTATCCGGCTTCGCATCAATCCTTGCGTATCTCTCCCTTGTTTTTTGCTGTGGTTTCTGCTGCTGCTTCTTTTTTTCTCCCCTAAGCAGCTAACTCGGAGGCCTTGGTAAGGAGACTATGCTTTTCTAGGCACCGCCTAATAAAGCACTATCTGATGGAGCCCTGCCTAACGATATTTTCTGACAAATGCTCCCGGGTCGGTGCCCCGTGGTGGCCCTGAGGTCTGGCGCACGTAAGAAATCGCCAACTCTCGGGGGTCTTCGCACTTCTCGTTCGGCGCCAGGGGTAGGCCTGGGCACAGAAAATGCCCAACGAGCCCCTTTCTGGGAGCACTGATTTTGAACCGAACGCAGACGCAGGCGGGCTCTCCGAGCCTTCCTCAGAAGGGATGTCACAGCGGGACCGTTCCCCTTGCTCTCCTGATAACGCCCACAGCGAATATGCTAGAGGCGAAATCCGAGGAGCTTTCCTCACAAAGAGCCGGGGTCACCCGCGAGTGGTAGCGCCCCTCTGGGGGGAAAAAGACGCTACGCACCCTTCAACCCTCCAAGCCTCCGGGCCCGCAGCGCCACCCGCCCTCACCGCTCCCCTTAGACACAGCCCCGCCGAAGGGACGCCCAGGTCCTCACGCTCGACCCCCGTTCTCGGCACCAGCTGGCGTCCCTCGCCGGTCCCCTGAGGTTCCCACTTGGTCCCGCCCACCCGCAAGAAAACTCGATCTACAACTGTGGCCAACCGCCCCTTCCCCCACAAACCGCGGGACGTGGTTCCACCCACACCCTCCCCCCACTCCAACTCCGTCCAACTCGGCTCCTCACCGAGAGACATATCGATTTTGTCGAGGTTTTCATTACTACGGGCTTTCGGCGGCGGTGACGGAGTCGCCGCGGCTCCCACTAACCGGGTACCAAACCGGTTCATGGCTGGAGACGTTGCGCTGGATCAGTCAGTGGAGAAGGCCAGAGACCGAGGCCTGCCACCTCCCACTCACGCTCACAGACTGGCTGCACCGAGAAAGCGCGCACGCGTGCTGGCGACGTCCTCGCCCTCCCACCCGCGGCTGGGGCGGGGGGAGGTGCTACCGAGACCAGAGGCGGGCGAGAGCGGCCCTACGCCGGAATTGCTCCTAGCGGCCCTTGCCGGACAGGAGGAAACATTGCACCTGCTATTCTCCGCGCTTGCAGAGCTGTTTCAGCAGATCGCCTCTCCGCCCCAATCCGGGGATGCTGGACTCTGAGCACCTCGTAATCACATGTCTTAAATGAGATCATGTTCCTCGGTGTCCTTCGAATCCCTCTTGCTACAGAAAGGCCCCTAAGCTTTGGTACGCACGAACCTTTCACAGCCCACTGCAATGCAGCCTCGGAGGCGGGACAGACCCCTGAGAGCATAGATTGCACAACTGCGTCCCAGTTCCCCTCTCCCTGGCCAGCTTCTCTACCTGCAGCAGGCGGAGTCGCCACGTCTGGACGCAAAGCAAAGGCTGCAGTGTCAATTCTTGCGTCACCGTACCAATAAAAGTAAATGCTAACGTTTCCCATAATTGTACCATTTCTCAGCCGGCACTCTCCAAACATTGTGCCTGGTACTCGCTACCTTAATAAGACCTCATCTTCCCTTAGAAGAGGGGTAAGTACCTCTGATTATTTGGCTGCATTTTTTAACATTCATTTGCTCTGGGAATTGATAAGAGAATTCGTTTTCTTTCTAATCGTCCCTATAGGAAAATATTAATATTTGATGACTTCTTGCAAAACAATTTTTTTTCCTGTTTACAAACGTGATATTCCCTCTCTTACCTTTTCTCCTCCTCCAAAGTTAATGCGCTTCTACGCAAGCATTTAGTTTATATCATCCTCATAACAGCTTAAAACTAAGGCATTCGCATCTACTGAAAAAACCAGGGGCAGGTATTCAGTCCACTTAGAAATCTCTACCACCTTCCTCCTCTCCACTTCCTAAAATTTCTTTTTGCATAGAAAGGAACCAGTGGCTTAAAGTATCTCAAAACCGCAATAGCTTGTACTTAATTTATTTTTCCCCAAGATGAAAATATAACCTTATAAGAAGAGTGAATCAAGTGAGGACACACCAATGAAGGGGTAGTAGACAGGGTAGCTTTAATGGTGGAGAAGTTTGAGACTCAGAAAGACCCAAGGACAACATTAGGCATGACAAGGAGAGTAGCAGGTATGATTTTAGCACAACGTGCTTGATTTTATTAATATCCCACCCCGCAACTCCCCCCTCCACCCCCCACGCTGCGGTCCTGACTGTGAAGAACTAGGGAAACTGGGTTATAGAGATAAAAGTCTGAGGGAGACCTAAGTTTTGTTGAGTGGTATTTTTTCACCCACTTCAGTCATGTGTTCACTGTTTGAAATTGGGAGAGTGTCTGGGCCACAAAACAAGGAAGTGGTTATACTAAATATATATCTTCTTAATTATTCCTAATATTCCTTACAGTTCTAAAATCTTCTAAGCACAAGACATTTTTCTCCACACCATCCTTCTCTCACTGTACATAACTTCTACGATTTCTGCTTATTTGTAGAAGTAAACTACAGGGAGGAATGTTAGATTAAGTTTTTAATTTTATGGAAGAAATTAATGCCTTTAGTGTTTGGATTCATTTTTGTACTTCAAATATTTATAGGACAGATAATAAAATTCCAAAATGTATAAAATCCTTTCCACCACTAGTATATAAAGATTACCTTTTATTCTGGTCTCTCCAAAACTGAGCCTTATCCCAAATTTCCTTGGCTCTTTAGGGAACATACCCCAATATATTTCATAAGCAAACCTGGCTATTGTGTTTCAGACTTTCAGATTTTCCCAAGGGCCAAAGGTCTCAGAGTTTTGGAGCAATCACTCAGATTCCAAAGAGGAAACAAGAAAACAAGAGGCATTATAGATAAGGGTAGGTCAATCACACACAAAACAATACAAAACAGCAACCTGAGACACACACAACAACATTGAAGAGGGAGACAAGCCAAGAAATCAGAACTGGGGCTTGTCCAAGAAGTTGATCAGCCAGTTACAAGGAAGGGCTGGAGTAACAATGTCAACCCTGCAATTTTCTGGGGCATGAAAGGCAGCTATTCATTTAATCATATATTTATTGAGCATCAGGCATTGTAATAGGCCCCGGGGACAAAATGGTGAGCAAGATGGATGCAGCTCCTACTTTCAAACAGCTTTCAGAGCAAAAAATTTTTCTAAGCATCTCTTGTGAATGAGACACTGTGCTGGACACTATGCATGTGGCCTTTGTTTAGAATACAGCAGTTCAGCAGTTTCACCTAAGTAAAAATATGTTACATGCAATATTTAGCATAATTTGTACTACTTATTCGTTGTTTATCTGAAATTCAAATTTAACTGGGAGTCATATTTTTATTTGCTAAATCTGGCAACCTTAACAACATTCGACTTTTTCGATTAACACATTCTGGCTCTACATTCTCTTCAAAATACAACTCATGTATATAACTCTTACCTTTTTAAAAATTAATTTGACATGCCCCCCTTTATTCTGTTTTATTGAGGTATAATTGACAGACAATAAGACATATTTAAAGTGTGCCGTTTATACAGGTGTACAGCGTACATACCTATGAAAACACCACCATAATCAGGATGATTAATATATATACATCCCCAATAGTTTCCTGTCCTCCTTGTAATCCTTCCCACTGACCACTACCTGAGTAACCACTGATATGTTTTCTGTCATTATAGATTAATTTGAATTTTATAGAATTTTATAGAAATGGAATCATACACTATATTCTTTTTTTATCTGAATTATTTCACTCAGCATAATTGTTTCCAATGTGTATGCCTTTTATTATTATTATTAATTTTTGCCTTTTATTCTTATTCTTGCTTTATTGCAGTGACTGGGTAATTTCAGTACCATGTTTAATAGGAGTGGTGAAAGTGGACATTTTAGTCTCATTCCCAACCCCAGAGGGAAAGCATCCAGTATTTCACCATTAAGTATAATGTTAGATTTTTCACAGATGCCCTTTATCAGGTTGAGGAAGGGCCCTTCTATTCCTGATTTGCTGAGCATTTTAATCATGAGTGAATGTTGAATTTTATCTAATGCTTTTTCTGCATCTATCGAGATGACCAAATGGTTTTTGAAAATTTTATTAATATGGTGAATTACATTGACTGACTTTCAAATGTTGAACCACCCTCGCATTTCTAGGATAAAACTACTTGGTCCTGGTGTATTATCCTTGTTATATATTGTTGGATTTGGTTTGTTAGTATTTTGTCAAGGATATTATTTCTCTTTTCATGAGTGATAGTGGCGTGTAACTCCCTTTCTTGTAATGTCTTTGTCTGATTTTGGTATCAACTCTTGTTTTTCGAAAGAAGATTTTAGAACTCATGTTGATATAATTTGTATTATACTGGTATAAAAAGGGAGTTGAATATAATTTGTATTATATGTAGGTATAATATATATTAGTTAGTCATAACTATTATTATACCTAACTCCCTTAAGCTATTCATATGTACAGTACAGTTTTTCTTCTTTTTTCTGCTCAATTCTTCTCATTCTGTCCCCTTTGCCATTGTTTTCTGCTGCAGTAGCTTTTTCTTTGCCACCTTGCTATAGCTTTCTGTTCTTCTTTTGCCCTTTTCCTTTATTCCAAGCTTTTCTAGCTGTTCTAGTCTTCTGCTTTTTAATCTTGAGATTTATTCATTCACTTATTCGAATGGAGTTTGAGTTCCTAGTATGTGCAAGACACTGTGCTACAGTACAGTGAAACAGCAGAAAACTTGACAGGCAGGGATACAGACATAGCTAGAGGCGTTACTGGTCTCTGAGTCCCTGACCATCATCAGTTTTCTATGACTAGGGAAACTCCTCTGGGTAAGCAGGGAAACTTGACGAGGAATTCTTCCTTGACTCAGGGGTTGGACCTTATTAAGCTTTGCCTCCTCTGGGTAGGGTAGGTGTCCTGTCAACTAAGGGTTCTAGGCCAATTCACTAAAGGACTAATTGTAGAATTTTCTAAAGCTACACAAATTTATATAAATCACACAAGTTCACCCTATTTAAATAAAAATTATTTTAAAAAATATATATCCTCATTTTGTACTAAATAGATTCATAGTCTAAGAAGGTCTGGAGAGCCAGGATTCTAGGGTCATGGGGCCTTTAGGCATTTATCCTTCTCCTATGTTTTTTCTCTTTGCCATTTGGCCTCCCTGCTCTGGGATGAAGAGCCCAGGCTGGATTCTCACCTCTGTCTTTCCCTCAGTAGAGGATCTCTTTTCTTAGCCCACTTTTATTCAGTTAGAACTGCAGGGAGCTTATACAGAGTCACGTTGAACATTCATCATGTCACTTGGTTAAGATGATGTCTGCCAGATTTCTCCATTGCAAAGGTACCCCCCTTTTTTTTCTATTTATAAGTAATCTGTAGGAAATAGTTCGAGACTATGTAAAAATTCTGTTTCAAAACAAATTTCACTCATGGCTTTAGCATCCACTGATGATTCTTACCTGAATCAATTATTGCTATGGTGGCTATAAAATAGTGGTTTTCTAACACTAACATTTTTCTACTTTCATTAGTTGACATTCTACAGTAAAAAAGAACTTTCTCTCCCTCCATTTCTTCCTTCCTTTTTCTATTTATTGATTTATTTGCATACTTATTTATATACACATATAAGTTTCCATAGAAATTCAGAGACTCATTTTGGGTTCAAAAATTCTCTTCTGAAAGCAAAAAGGTGAACAGTGTAAGAGTTGTGCCTATCTTTGAAAAGAATGTAGATATGTATACATATCATGAATTAACTCATTTTGATGCTCAAATTATTTTGACTTGGCTAGTGGGAGACATCTCTTAGCTTTTAAAAATTTGAGTATTTTCCAAAATGCTGCTAAGAATAATTCTAGTAACTATAATGAAAAGAACATAGTCATGACTATAATTGATATTTGCTGAATATACTCACAAAGACTATGTCTTAAAACAAGTTTTGGCAAATAAGTAAATGTAATGTACTTTAAAAATCTGTTATTTGAATAACTGAATCTCATGTGAAATTGGCTTTCTGCCAATGGTTTTTTTAGGACCTACTACTGTTTATGTAAAAATAGCATCCTGGTGATCTTGAAAACAAATAGATTAATCAAGATCCAATGCACCTCTTTAAGTTTTTTGACTTTTAAAATACTAATTCATCGAGCAGTTGCTAAGTAAGGCCATTTCATTTACATGACATTTATTGAATCCTAATGCTAAATATTTTTGCATATTTGACAGTTTTTTACATTTGAACCACAAACGCACAAAATTGGATTAATCGGACAATAACCCTATGACCTAGCAATTCCACTTCCAGGTATGTACCCAACAGAAACCCTTGCTTATATACAAGAGGAGACGCGGAAAAGAATATTCATAGCAGCACTGTTTGCAGTAGCAAAAACTCTGGAAACGACCCAGATGCCTATCAATGAAAGACATCATGAATAAACTGGTGTATTCACACAATGGACTATTATACAGTAGTCAGAATCAATGAACTAGAGTGAAACATAATATAAATAAATCTTATCAATGTTATATTAAGGGAAAAAAAGTAGGCCCTAAAGAACAAAGAATAAATATAGCTTAATACCCTTTTTATAAAGTTAAAACACATACATTTTAAAAATAATACTTATATATAGGACTATAGATAGATGCAAAGAAACTATTTTATAAAAAGGGAAGCAGCAGAATAAACAAAATAGTCAGAATATGGCTACTTGGGGTGAGGGAAAGCAGAAGAATGGGATTGGGGGAGGATGGGCACATAGTTAATGTAGATTATTATCATGTTTATTAACTGACTGCTTTAAAGAAAATACACGTAACCCCAGATTTGGACGTGTGAGGAAAATCCTGTTTTCCAGAACTTTCACTACAATTTTAGTTCTAGAATTTCCAGATAAAACTGACTTTCATGTAAATATATGTTACGATCATGACAAGGTCGTTTGGGATTATACTGTATGACAAAAAATGAAGTTCACACATTTGTACAAACAGAAGGTAGTGAAATCTCAATGACTTAATACTGCTCCTTTATTTTAAAAAGTATAAACCTTTATTAGGATATGAGAAAGTTTGAACAAAGAGTACTTTTTATATAAACGGAAGTTGGAAATCATAATTTGGATTCAAAAACTTTCATTTCACTTTTAACTCACACAGACTAAACATTGTCTCAGATTTGAAAATTCCTGAAAGTCATAACACTTTTAATAGTGTAACTAATTTTTCATGGAGTTAACCTAGATCCCACCCTGAGTAGTGCTATGCTGCTCTCTTCACTTTCTCTTCCATTGTTTTCTTGACTAACTCATAGGCATCCTTAAAAACTGTTCTGACATCAGTCCTCCAGGAAAGCTTCCCCCAAAGCCCTTTCCTCCTGCTCTTCCTTTGTGATCCCAAAGCAACCGGTGCTGACTTTGTGAGCTCTTCATTAAAATGCTTGAGGTCCCCAAACACCACCAAGTGTTAAACCAGTGTAGACTAAAGTGGGGTTAACCATACTTAGTATAAGACCAGCATTATTTCCTAGCTTAGACCTCGGACCGAGTCCAGTCCCAAAGATGAACAAGTGACAGGAGCGTATAAGGATTCCAGAGACTAGCGTTGGTGGGCGTTTCATCCCGGGTGCACGCCCACAAGCACGCCGCCACGGTCTGCAATCCGCTGAGAGAGCGCGGCCTTGGATTGGATAGAATGGTGCATGCCGGGAGCGGCCGGGTCTTGGAAGTGCTTTCTGGGAGTTGTAGTTTTTGGAGCCGGAAGTGAGCGGAGGCAGGGGGAGAAACCGCAGCTGAGACAGCAAGTCAACGCTGCTGCGGTCACCGGGTGTAGTGCATCGCCCAGAGCCCAGCTGCCGTGGGTACCTCCTCAGTTCCTGGCGGGGGTGGGGGGGCTCCGGGACCCCTGAGGGCGAAGCGGCAGGTACGGCTCTCCAGAGGGAAGGCGATGTCGCAGCCCCGGATGCGGCCGGAGCGCGCGGGAATGGAGCTTGGCGGCTGCGAGGAGCGCCTGCCGGAGGAGAGCAGGTGGGCTGGCAAGGGGCCGGGGAGTCGGGGGCGGATGGATGAGCTAGCTGAAGCACTGGGAGGCTTGGGAGGGCTCGGAGAGCGTGGAGAGTCGTGCCGGGTGCAACAGAGATGAGGGCGACTGCTGTGGCGACTTGTTAGGGAAGAAATTCTGAGAGGTGGCACGGGCCGGGATGTGGATAAGCGGAGGAGGGAGCCAGCTTAGTGAAGGTGAGCAAAGGTAGATAGGATATGTTAAGGGCAGGAGGAGCAGAAGTGGGTGACGCTCAGATCTAGGGCTGCTAGAGAGGAGGTGAATATTGGGAGGTTCTGTAGTGAGGTTCTAAAGGCCAGAGTTTATAGATAGGAGTAGGGCAAAAGGTTGGTGCCCTGACTGAAGCTTGGCGGTGACAGCACGTCGGGCCAATATTAAGAAGGTTGAAGTTTTAAGAATTTCTGGGAGCAAAGGTTAAGAATTATGAGCGGCTTAGTAAGAAGATTAGGCAGGGATGAGTGTGAAGAAGGTAAGAAAGAGGGCCTGTGGATGAAAGTGGGCGATTGTAATGGTAGTGGTGTCGGGGTGGGGGCTTGCTAATGAGAGTAGAAATTGTCAGTGCCCAATCCCTGTTAGAGAGTGGCAGGACCTCTCTGTCATTTCCTTTTCATCTCAAATTCTTTAATCTTTCCTCACTGT